ATAAATTTCTAAAAATATATAATTATACAATTATAAACTGCAAGAAATAAACAGACATGTTTATGTATTTGTAAATTAAACTTATAAAAAGAATACCATTGATTAATTTGGATGGTAGAAATCATATTCATTTCCTCCCTTTCCCCCTTATTTTCTTACATCATTTTATACAATTAACACAATATCATGTCTCTTAAAGTATTGCCAACAAAGTACTCCCAACAAAGAGCTTTCCTCACCTCCATGCAATCTTTAATCTCTTGGGCAGATTGTATGTTGTATTGACCCAAATGGAGATCTCTGGTTGGCTCCTCAAATTGGACATAAAATGTTTCAGTGCATATGTTTCCATCTCTGAACTTCATGATGTAGTGCTTCTTAAAAGGCTTAGGTGTAATTAAAAAGCCTGGGACTTTTACACACTCTAAATCCTCAAGCAGCAGTGGGACAGGATTCAGACTGAGATGAAAGAGCACTGGGCCTCTACAGCAGGAGTACAGGGCCTTTCATGTTTCAAAGTCCCCATCGCCACCCCCACACTTCTAAGCAGACACTAACAAAGAAAAAAATCCTAATAGATTAGAAGTTTATTAAAAAATTTGACTAACCTTTAATAATAAAGTGTCTGCATTGTTTTTACAAATTAAGTGCCTAAAAGACCTTGAGGGTAAAAAAAAAAAAAAAAGACCTTGAGTGTGTACGGCCAATGCAAAACCTCCTACAGCTGTTTTGGGCCAACAGTCTGGAAACAATTAATACGTGATCGGTACCAGTGAACAAAGCGTAAATACTTAACCGTTCTAGGAAGGGCTGATTATAGCTGATTAACAAAGATAATCATCTATAAAGCAATTCTTCCTCTAGGCTGAAATGAAAAGATGCTGATTAGCAAACAAATACACAAGTACATTGATTCATCCTTCCTCTTCAAGGTCCCTTCCTCACAATCACAAATGTATTTTGAAATTACTGGCCCCCTCAAGCGAGGTGAGCAAACTCTACAGTTTGTGGCAAAACCATATTTATATATACAGCATTTCAATGCCCATTTATAGAACTGAAGTGAAAAGAAACCCATCCCTGAGCTATTTTCCTTGTTATTCGGGACTCATCATACAGAAGCGCATCAAGCTCTTTGGAAGAAGAGAATAAAGGGCTACATTGTACAAGATTATGCTCATGATATATTTAGGGTCTATCGTTTGGGATACAGGTAAATCCTTTCTTTGCAAAGCAAGCAAAACATTTTTCACTGCTAAGGTCTCATGGCGTTTGCCTGTGTGGATCATAACAAACTGTGGCTGACTCTGAGGAGAATGGGAATCCTAGAACACTTGATCATGCTAATGTGAAACCTATACATGTACCAAGAGGCAGTCATCAGAACAGAGCAAGGAAACACTACATGGTTCAAAATTGGGAAGGGCGTACACCAGGGATGTGTCCTGTCTCCATACGTTTTCAACCTGTATGCAGAACAGATTATCTGGGAGGCTGGGCTCTATGAGGAGAAATGCAGCATCAGGATTGGTGGAAAACCTAGTAACAATCTGCTTTATGCAGATGACACAACCCTGCTTTCTGAAACTGAGGAGGACTTGATGCAGAGGGTCAAGGACTGCAGCCTTCAATATGGATTGAGGCTCAATGTCAAGAAGACAAAGATTCTCACAACTGGACCAATTGGTAGTATCAAGATGGATGGTGAAGAGACTGAGATTGTTCACAACTTTAGTCTGCTTGGCTCCACAATCAACACTCTTGGCACCAGCAGCCAGGAAATTAAAAGATGTATTGTGATGGGGAAGTCTGCTGTTAGGGACCTTTCCAAAATTCTGAAGAGCAATGATGTCTCTCTGGAGACTAAGGTGCGTCTGATACAGGCTATGGTCTTTGCAATCACTTGTTATGCATCAGAGAGTTGAACAATGACTAAGGAGGATAGAAGGAGAACTGATGCCTTTGAGCTGTAGTGCTGGAAAAGAGTATTGAGGGTATCATGGACTGCTAGGAAAACAAACAGATTCATCCTGGAAAGGATTAAACTGGGTGGCTCCTTGGAGGCAAGGATTCTGAGGCTTTGTCTAACATACTTTGGACATATTGTAAGGAGGGACCAGTCCTTGGAGAAGGACATCATGCTTGGGAGGGTGGAGGGACGGTGCAGGAGGGGAAGGCCCTCTATGAGGTGGATTGATTCCGTGACTGGGGTAATCGGGATTGGTGTATCAGAAACAGTGCGATTGGCATAGGACAGAGCAGAGTTTAGGGCTATGAGTCACAAATGACTCGACAGCACATAACAACAACAACAACAACAAGGTCTCATGGCTGTAGACAGAGAGTACCAGAAAGATGTTCAGCTGAGTTTTGTTGACTATGCAAAGGTATTTGACTGAGTGGATCATTAGAAATTATAAATAATATCGAAAGAAATTGGAATCGCTGAACAATGTATTATGCTCATGTGGATACTGTATATAGAACAAGAAGCAGTTGTTTGAAAATAACAAGGAGATATTGCCTGACTCAAAATCAGAAAAGGTACATCCAGACTGTATCCTTTTACCATTCCTATTTAATTTGTATGCTGAGCAAATAATTCAAGAAGCTAGGCTAAAGAAGAATGTGACGTCAGGATTGGAGGACAATTCATCAGCAATCTGTGTTATGCAAATGGCACAGGGTCTTTTAGCACTTACTGAAGAACATCAAAGAGCACACTTCAGTATAGATTACATTTTAACATCAAGAAAGCAAAGATCTTCACAAGTGGACTAATAAGGATCAAGATTTCAAATCCTACTACACTGCCATAGTGGTAAAGACAGCATGGTACTGGTACAATGACAGACACATAGATCAATGGAATCGAATTGAGAATCCAGAGATCAACCCATCTATCTATGGTCAACTTATCTTTGACAAGGAGATGAAATCAGTGAAGTGGGGGAACGACAGCCTTTTTAACAAATGGTGTTGGCAAAATTGGAAAAATATCTGCAAAAGACTCAAGCAAGACCCACACCTCACTCCATACACAAAAACCAACTCAAGGTGGATCATGGACCTAGGACTAAAACCAAGGACTATAAAATTCATTACAGAAAAGCTAGGAACAACACTAGAAGTCCTAATCCACAACATAAACAGTCTTCCCAGTATCCTGGAAAAGCTACAACCAGGAGAAGATAACATAGATGAATGGGACCTTCTAAGACTCAAATCCCTATGCACATCCAAAAACTTCTCCAGTAGGGTAAAAAGGGAAGCCACTGACTGGGAAAAAGTATTCGGTAATACCATATCAGATAAGGGACTTATATCCAGAGTTTATGAAATACTTGAGCACCACAACAAGATAAAGGTAAATAATCCA